GTGATGGGAGGGGGTGAGAGGACACGTGGATGGTGGGGGAGGGATTGTGGGGATTGTGGGGAGGGGAAGTTAAGATGAAATAGGTTCCATGTGGGGGTGTGATACCGGTAACAACTCACGGCCCTGCTTGACGTCATTCTATGACGTCAATCCTCAGTGTTCATTCCGTCGACCCACTCCGCCTCCACGAGCTTTCGACTAATACTTTTTTTTTCTCCCATATCTTGGCCTCATCTCTCTATTCTTCCGCTCTCAAACTTCTATCGTGTTAAGGGGTTACATGGGTTTCCCGAGCGAGAACACGACACATGTTTATCTTTTTTTTAATGAAAAATACAATATTTAATTAATAAATTGATAGAACTTTGAAATGGCTTGAAGATATAAATTAAGAATGGAGAAAGTGGAGAAGGTATAAAACACTTGTCTTGTAAGACCAAAGAAAATAAATTATTATTATTATTATTATTACAATATTTAATTCAAACTTTTTCTTACGTTACACATTTCGAAAAGGTGTTCCGATATTTTCATTGAAAAATTCGGAAAATTCAGCCATTGAGGCGTCATTTTCACCGAGCCTTTTTTTCAAAGAAAGGCGCTCTTCCGTTCACAGCAGAACTTATCACAGGATCATTCGAAATTAATAAAAAAAATTGCGGGTTCTAGGTGACATCTTCAACTAATGTTTGAATAAGCGAGAAAATAAAAATAAAATAATTGGATTTTTGACGGCTCTTTTTATGGAAAATCACCAATTTCCATGGAATTTTCACTACATTTTGCATCTTTAAAACCGGTTACGATAAAATTCTCAGTTCAAAAAGTGGTCTAGTATTTCGAAGACCTGTATAAAATTTCATTTAAGATTCGTTAGACGGTTTTCAAGAAATCTTGTTAACCGACTTTGAAAATGCGTTTAAAGTTTTGAATGACAATAAAGTTGGTCTCCCACGTCTGTATCTCCGAAACTCTTACTGCGACCAATTAAAAATTTTTGGACAATACTTTAGACATGTTGTAGCAATTAATCAGGAAAAAAATGAATTTTGAAACTCATGTAACCCCTTAAATGACCGATTTATAAACATACCCACCAAAATTCTCAAAATATTTAATATATTATTAAATATTTGAAATGTTATATCTAAAATATTATATACGACAAAATAATTAATATAGTATTAAATATTTAATATATTATATCTTCAAGATATATTATTCATCTTTTAAATCATTTGTACTTCACTTTTGATAGCTTTCATATTTCATCATTTAACAGAAAAGGTAAAGGGAAATTAAATGAATCCCGACGTAATGACTGACGTCCGATTCTAGTGAATAATTCAAGGACAATTTATCGTATTTTTAGCTTCATTGATGATTATGGCTTTTAAGAGATCATTGTGAAAAAATTATGAAGTCTTATGATTTTCAGAAAGTTTTTTTGTTCCACAATTTTTTAATTTATTTAATCCTGAGAATTACAAGAAAATCTTCAATAAAACACCAATTTTTTTTTAAGAAGATTTTCATTGACTAACAATGATAAATTTATTCAACAAATAAATTATTTAATTACCATAATGTCCGGATTGCAATTATGATTGGCAGATAATCATGTAATAATTTCACAATCTATTGGTTTGAGTAGCAATACATTTAATTTGTTATAAATAAGTAGAAAGTTGAATCAATAATCAGTAAATCATTTTGAAATAACTCTCAATTCGTGCCCATGAATTAAATTTTCCCAGAATAACCTAGAAAAATGACCGAAATATATCACAAGTCTGCGTCAATCCGAATTTAAAATAAATTTGGGGGGAAAAAAAAGTGGGGGATAAAACGTATTCATAACGTATAAAGTAGTCAATGCTGTCGTGGTAATTCTCGAGACAATTATTTTTTTTTTCCGGCACAAACTATTTATAAATTTCTGTCTATAAAAATGGAAACCATTGAAATCTACAATTACGCAATTATAATGTGGACAATTACCTAGACAATTTAGTATCAGGTAAATAATAAATGTTGATCATATGTGTTTCAGATTAAGGAGCGACCACCTCTCCTTCGTATCGACATTTCATAACCAACATACGACATACAGTCTAATCATCAGAACATGTGATTGAGCCGATGAGATTGTACCTGACATTATTTTCCTCAACGGTTGTACAAACAGATTCCAGTAAAATAAAACCAGTAAGACTATAAAATTGTTCATTCATCCATCTAGTTCATTAACAATCCGGAAAAGTTGTTTTCCAATTTGTTAATGTGATTAATCAATTGTTGTCTTCAATTTTTTGTGAGAAAGTGAGAATATCAATGAGAAGAATTTCCTCCTTCAAACAATTGGTTTGAACTGCTCTCTAGAAAATTGTGTATAAAAATTCTGATTGATCATTCAGACATATGGGTGACTCCACAGAAATAGTGATATCTATGTCAGTGTCGGGTCTCAAGTATCAGCCGAACGATTGTAGATACATTGGTTGAATTAGTAAGTTGAGACATTTCTTCAGAACGGCAGCAGAAAATTATGAAATTTTAAATGAAATAAATAAGAAACATGTGGTAGCGGAACGTTTCGTCTGTCAATTCCCGATATGGAGCAGATGATGAATAAATTGATGATTTAAGGCACGGTACTGACATTAATACTCTTGAATATCACAACACCGATTGATAAATCATATATTCAAAAAAGTTATTCATCTCCAAAAATATTCAAGAAAATATCTGGTCATTCAGCACTGGCTTACGCCCTCAGTTACAGATCTTATCTCGTAATGATAATAAAAAGCGTGATTTCGTGATAATCACTATTTCATACGTTCATCATTGATTTTAACCTTTTTTTAATCCAATTTGGTTAATTGAGAGATTAAATAATCATGTGTGATTATTTGTAATTCGATGCAAAAGTCAATATATTTGTAATTTCTACTTCAATTTTTTTATTGATATTTTTTTTATGATGATTATTGTATTTTCAAGTCCATTCCTTCGGTTTTAGTTTAGTTTTCATAGAAGAATTTATAATATAAATCATG